AGTGTCAGAGAAGGTCTCGGGGGAGAACTCAAAGTGCCATTCGGTTCCGGCAGTCGACGGGTCATCCTTGGTGATTGAGCGAGCATACTTGGTGCAGCGCACGGCCATTTCCAAACTCTTCTGCTTGTCCATGTTGAAGACGATGCGACGGAAGCAGGGGCTGGTAGCCAGGTAGATGTGCAGAATAGCCTTCTTGGCACCCTTCAGGGAATCGACCGTACGACGGATCAGATCTTCTCTGCAGGGGGAGAGGACCTGAAGCCAGACATCATCGGGGCACAGACCGGGGGTCTCGACCAAGCTACGGGTGAAGTCGAAGTCGGTTTGCGAGGCGGAGGGGAAAGAGACTTCGATTTCCTTGTAGCCAATGTCGACGAGCATCTTGAAGAAGCGGAGTTTTTGTTGCCCATCCTGTACGTTTCACACGAGAGAAGTGGTCAGCCGGGTTATGCTAATTTTCTGCCCATTGCTCAATGTAATGAACTTACCATAGGATCGGGCAGACTCTGGTTGCCATCACGCAAATCGGTGGCCAGCCACCGGGGCGGGTTGTCGATGGTCTTGTTGGGCCATTGGCGATCGGGAAGATGGAGGGGCTGAAAGCGCTTGTATTTCTGGGAGGGGTCCTTGAGCCTGAAGAGACAAGGAAGAGTCAGTCGGTGGACGAGGATCAATTGACGTGCAATTATGACTGCAATTAAAGCATCTGTTTAACGCAGACACCACCATAATTGAGGGAAATTGAGCAATAGTGGGAGACACGTACATAGGCATGGTGATGGAGGAGAAGCGGGAGGATCCGCAGCGGGGAAATGAGAGGAGAGGAAATGCGGGTGGAAGATATGGGGAGGAGGAGGTGATGGAGAGGTTGTAGATATATTAGTAGTGAATCACCTCACGGAAGAAGAGAGGACAGGACAGTGATTCTTGCAATGAGGAAGGAAGAGAAAAAAAACAGTTGAGAAGCTTAAAAAGAAACCAGGGAGCCAGACAAAACGGTGACGCAGAGGAAGAATGGGTAGGATTTAAAGGCGACGGGCGAGTGGCCGCCATGAGTCAAATGGAATGACGCTCGCCGCCTTTGGCCCTCGAAATTTGCGCCGACAGCGGATGGCGGATCGCCTTCTGATTTGGTACCAGCCAGTGTTCCCCTCTTCATTCAACTTCTCTCTACCCATCATGTTACATACAAAAAGTAAACTATACTAAGAATTATTGCACCCTCTCCTGGCAATTTCAATGGGTCTCCCTTTTTTTTCCCCGAATCAATCACCGGCCGAGAATTAGCAATTTGGTACGAAATCCCACTCCACCCATGATCAACTCGGCTGGCTGGTTGGATGAACTGCAAGGGCAATCGGCTTCTCCGCTCCTCCTCTGGATGCTCGGCTCGCCGACACCGGAGTCCCTCGCCGCCCTTCAGGCACCCCGCTGTCTCCGTCGATAGCCGTCGACAGCCGCTACTATGATCCCAATAACCAGAAGGAATAGATTCATAACCAAATAGGAAAAAGGAAATAGGAAATAGGGGGAAAGGGAAAATCATACTATGTAGAAGATCGTAAATAGTCTAAGCAGAAAAATTGGAAATATCTATACAGTATATCCACAATATGCTAATGCGAATAGTAATTTTGTTTGAGGTCCCTTGAGTCTAGACCCGTCATCACCGTCTGCCTCATTTCTTGCCCTTCTTCTTGTTGTCCTTCTTGGCCTTAGGCAATTGCCCGTTCTTCATGCTCTCCCGTGTGGCCCGACCCTTCTTCCAGCCCGAACCAGCTTCCTGGCGCTGGCGGGAGTCATCCAGACGCTTCTTGTCCTTGTTACTGAGCTTCTGCTTCTCCTTCTTGGACAGGCCGGCATCGGGCCCGTTGAGCTCCGCCGCGCCCAGCTTCCGCGCCGCCTTCTTATCGCGCTCCGTCTCGAACCACGTACGCTTCGGCCGCGACTTGATCTCCGCCTCGTGCTTGATCAAGTTTTCTCCCTTGGTCACTTGCATCTCCGCCTGCGCCAGCTGCTTCTCGAGCTTCTCCTCCGACAGCACCTCCTCCACCTCCTCCGCCAACTCTTCCGCCTTGGCCGCCCAGGAATCCGCCACCGCCGGTTCAATCACCCGACTGGCGATCTTGGCTCCTTGCGACTTGCCCGCCTTCACCGCCGCCTTGACCACCTTACGGTCAGGCTCGGCGGCAATGGTGCATGCCCGACCGGAGCGGCCCGCACGCGCTGTACGACCGACACGATGCAGGTAAATCTCGTGGCTCTGCGGCGCCTCGTAGTTGATGACCGTCTCCACGCCCTTGATATCCAGACCACGGGATGCCAGATCTGTAGCCAGGAGGAACGCCGCCTTGCCCTCACGGAAGTTCTCAACACTCTTGATACGCTGTAGTTTGGAAAACACCCAAGTTAGTATCATCGATCAAATCAAAAAAGGGGGGATCGAAGTAAAGTAACATACCTGTTCTTGACTCATGCTACCGTGGAGTTCGGCAGCCTTCAAGCCCAGCAGTCCAAAGATGATGCGCACCCGGTGCGCCTCCTTCTTCTGTCGAAAGAAGACAATCACTCGACCAGTGTAGAGCTCTTTGCAGAGGTAGAGGAGGTAGCCCAGTCGCTTGTCCTCACGTCCAGGGCGCAGACGCACGAACTCCTGCACCAGTGTCACGGCGGTATTCTTCTTGGCGTCGACCATCAAACGCACAGGGCGGTTAAGACCGACGCGGATAAGCTTGTCGACCGTGTCCGTCATCGTAGCCGAGAAAAGCATGGTCTGGCGCGACTTGGGGATGGTAGTGAGAATCTCGTTCAACTCGTCGGCGAAACCGTCCTCAAGCATGCGATCAGCTTCATCCAGAACCAAAATTTCCAGAGTATCAACAGTGAAGCTGGCCGAGTTGCGCATGTGATCGATGAAACGACCGGGAGTAGCGATGATCACATCGGGGCGCTTCTTCAAGATGTTCTCCTGCTCGCGAAGACTGAACCCACCGACCAGCTGACAAAAGGTGATGTCCGTATACGTCGCCAGCTTCGTGGCGACATTGTAGCACTGCACCGCCAATTCACGGGTGGGCATCAGGATGGCAACGCGACTCGTCGGGACCTTGCGTGGGCGGAACAGCAGACGTTCGAGAATAGGGACAACGAAAGCGGCAGTCTTTCCGGAACCAGTAACGGCACTACCGACAATATCCTTGCCGAGGAGAGCCACGGGGATCGTCTTGCGCTGAATGGGTGTGGGGTTCGAGAAGTTGACGCCGGCAAGACCACGAAGAATGGGACGAGAAAGGTTGAATTCCTGGAACGAGCGCTTCGCATCTGCCATAGCAGACTCCGAAGTCTTCTCCTCCTCAGGAGCGAAGAAAGCCTTGCGCTTCTCCTCCTCCTCGGCGTCGACCTGACTCTCGTCGTCCGAGTCCCGGTCAGAAGCAACATCATCAGGGTGTTGAACAGGAGTGGCAACCGAGTCGTTATCCGAAGCAGCATCGTCATCATCCTCGTCCATGTCCTCGTCGTCATCACTGCCCTCGGCCTCCTCATCAGACCCTTCTTCCTTCTCTTCATCCTCCGCATCGGACTTGTCGCTCTCCTCCGCCTCACCATCGACACCCATACCGAACCCATCCTCCGCAAGCAGCTCATCATCCTCAAAGTCGACCTCCATACCTCCATCCTCCTCATCATCATCCTCCAACTCACTAAACTCCTCCGCCTCCTTCTGCTTCTTCTTCTGCTTGCGAATCAACTCAGCCTCCTTCTTCGCCTGCCTCCTCGAGATAATATCATCAATATCCACAGCCTTCTTATCCCCGCCCTTACCATCCTCATTACCATTAATCTCCCATCCATCGAAGTCCCTAACCTCAGTCGCAGCACCGCCAACATCGAACTCGAAATCCGAATTAAGCGCGCCGTCATCTTGACCCTGATCCTCTTCTTCCTCCTCTTCTTCCTCCTCATCCACTTCCTCCTCAACAGGCACATTCTTCCCCTTCTTCCCTTGCTTCTTCTGCTGTTTTTGCTGCTGCTGTTGTTCCTGCTTCTTCACCTTCTTATTCTTCCCCTTCTCCTGCTGCGCCGCGGCAGCATCGTCTCTCTTGCGCTTCTTCGTTTTCGACCCGGAGGCTAGCGCACCATCGTCGCCCTCGCCTTCCTCTTCAAATTGATTTAACGTATCGTTCTCGTCATCCGACAATGTGAGCACGAAGTCGTCGTCGGCGTTCGCGCGCTTTTTCGTTCCGGCCATGGTTGGCGTGTGGGAGGGAATGAAAGATTTCTTCCCTTGTTTTTTTGGTAAGTGTGTTGTTCCGTGAATGTCACCCAAGACAAGATTCCGAGAGAAAAATAGAATCAGAGAATAGATATAGGAGAAAAGTGACACACTCCTCCCTTATGTTCCAATTCAATGGGTATGTTTTATGTATGTTGGTATCGGGATAAAGATGGAGAAAAAAGTTCAAATTTCGAAGGCGGTGGAGGCCGTTTGCGATGGCAGAATGTTGTGCTTACTGGCGTCGGGGAGGTGGTGATTGGTGCATCGTTTATCGAAATGGGGATCCACTCCTTTAGATTTTTGGATAGGAATATCTACTAGATAGGTCTACTAACTAGTTATGCATTGGGTACATTTTATAAGTAGCAAGATTGCGATTTCTATTTCAATTTCATTAAGTCACTAAAGTAAGAAAGCTCCTATCTGCATGTTCGTAGATAATTGATACACTGTAAACTGACGTCCGGCGCCGCTTATGGTGCGTCGGCTTTCCTAGGTTCTTTTTCCACTTTTCATCCTTTTTTTCCCCTCTTTTTTTGGTGTTGTTGCATATCCTTTTGTGTTTTTGTTGTTTTATTCGCGTTCGAACACATAGGTTCGCTCGCATAAGCCGGTCATAAGGTTGATTATTATCAAGGTCCTGTAGGGATCCTTGTTGTGTTGAGAATGTCACAAAGGAAAAGAATCACATAAGAGATTAAAGTAAGGAACGGACCGGACCAGACTATCGGTATGGAAGTGCGAAGATATTGTTCTTGACGAAGTACGCAACGTCGAGACTAGAATCGTTGTCAGTCAGTTTGAATGCTGAATATAATCATTATCCTAGTGAAGCAGGATAAACACTTACAGTCTTTCGTTCTTTGCGCGGACTCCGCACAAGCGTCCTTGTAATTCAAAGTTGTTCTTGGCCAGCCAATCCCTGACCCAACTCTTCGACTGGCGTTCCTCGGGAACGTATGTGAATGTGAAGATCAGCCGAGCGAACTCGCGACGTCCGCCCAGGCTGTACCCACAGAGACCATGGTTGTAGAAACCATAACCGCCCTTGGTTCTGTGATTTCCATCACATACCTGCAAAAGCTTGTCCATAAGACAATTTCCGATGCCTTTGCGCTGTTGCTCTGGGATGACGAATAACTCCAACTCGGCGGTGTATCTACCACTGGTTTCCGAACCGGTGTAGTCTTTAGCAGTGGCGTAGCCAAAGATATTCTCTCTCTGGTTGCCTGAACCGCGCTCCACGGCAACGATAAAGGGAAGGCGGGCGTCTTTGGCGGCTTGGATGCGCTGCCGAATGTCCCCTGGCTCCAACTTTCCGATGTCGACGCTCGCGAAGGAGTTCTGGGCGTACCAGTTGTAAATGGGGAGGAGTTGATTGGCGTCTCCTGCGTGTGCCGGTCTGAGGTAAATGTTTGCCCTTGGCGTGTTGGGATTTGGCGGCAAGGTGGCCATGCATTCGAGTTGCATGCGGCGCGACAAAGCTAGTTTCTGCTCCTCTAGCTCTGCTTCGGCTTTTTTGTGCATGACATAGTTGTAGCTGAGACCTGCTGCCGTCTCGTGTCTGTGTCTATGAGCTAGCTCATCGTTGGGATTGAGGATAGTGGTAGCCTTTGGTAGATTCGGGATGATAAAGGTTCTAACACCATCCGGATGAGCGGTGCCATCAAAATAGCCCTTGTGGTAGATGTTTGCGTAGCAGGCATCCTGAATGGTCTCGTCGAGCCAAAAACGGAATTTGTGAAGCCATTGATCGTAAAACGGAAGCATAGGAGGGGCCCACCACCAATCGCACAAGTGGTCATACTTTCGCCATTTCGTATATGCGCTGGGTGGGAATGTAGGGGGTTTACCTCGCGAGGCATACGGATGGGCCTCTGGTTTCTGAAACTTGGTTTGCAAGGTGGTCTGCGCCTCAGTCGGCTTAGGAGATAGTGTCACTTGGTTGTTGATGACGTTAGGGTAAATGAAAGTCTGCCTTTCGTATGCATCCCACAGTGGAGCCAGACGATCGCCGTCGATGAAGCTGTTACGAATCTGCTCGAGGTTATCGAGGCGGTCATCCTCTGGTTTGTCATCCGGGTCATTGGCTATAGAGAGAGCCGCAACGTTCAAGTCGACTTCTTCCATTGGACGCACACGTCGATATCCCTCGATTTCCTTATAGACCTCCGACTTTGGGTCCACGCCGGGGCCGTCACGGCATTTGGCTACTACTTCAGCATCAGCCGTTTCGACCTCCTCCTTGTATAGATTTTGATAAATCTTCGCAAGTTCCTCCTTTTGTAATCTTTTGATCTCTGCTCGCAGCTCAGCACGGGTAGTAGGCTGCTTCTCCTCGGAAGGGTCCCGCGCTGGCTGGTGAATGCTGCCCCCAAGTGGGGTACCGCCACCGGCCTCTATTCCAGTCTGTCCTGGAGCATCCTGATTTTGAGGCTGCAATGTTTCAGCTCTGGGATTACGCAGAACGACATAATCCGAGTCACCACTGGACGACATTTTCCCCTTATCAGCTTCTCAGGTGTCAGTTAGCACATTCCATGGTCAAGATGGAGGAAGCGGCATTCATCGCTTACCAGGTAGAGCAAGCTGATGTGGCGAGCCAGACGGAGTATTTCGAGTGAATGTTAACTGACTTGGCCTCTGAGGTGCTTTTGCGGCGTGTGAGATGAGAGGAGGGTGAGAAGGACGTGCAGTGTTTCTCCTATTCTTCTGCTCAGTCCCTTGACCTCCTTTGTTTCTAGGGAGGATGCGCTGGTCAGGATTTTGATATTGGTGTTGTCTTATGTGCGGTGGGATGTAGGGGGATGGTGTAGATCTGGATGGCGATACGTGAGAACTGTCACACAATCTGCTCACTGGCTCAGGTAGCTTGACCGTGATCTTGGAAGAGATTTTGGGGGATGAGGGGGGTTTGTTTTCATGTAAAGGCGATCGGCTAGTGGCCACAACCGGCTCAGGTGCTTTGAAACACTTGGGAATCGCCGTGGCGATCGCCTTGTGTGCTTTACGAGTGACTGTGACTGCAGTGCTATTTGTCGATCTGATGACAGTCGCTTGCATCTTTCCAGCCTGACTCGGACTCACTGGATTGCGCAGAGGTGAAGTGGTATTGTTATTCTCGGCACATCGTCGTTGCGAAGGCCGGTATCCAGGAGACCGGTATTTATTGGAAATCGAGGCGCTTGATACACTATCACGTGTCAATTTCATTCGCGCCCATAAGTCCGGGCTGTCATAGTCATAGTTGTTCTTTTGTGACATCTCTAACAGTGAGGTAGGTTAGTATCACTCACATCACCTCTCCCAAGGTTGTTCATGTTAGGCGAGGAGGATCCTACTTGACATTGATTGCACTTATTGCTGCTAGGGGCCTCTGAACAGACTAAATCACAGGACCCTATCTAATCAAACAGAAGGTGCTGTCTTCTAGAATTTTCAAGCTGCCTCTGTCGTTGAGTGACAACACGGATAAGGATGAGGAGATTCCTGTCCTCCTGTGGACAGAGACATACTGGAGGGCATGCGATCTGCGCACTATTTAAACGAATTTCGATACCTCCCTAATGTCACGCTATGCGCATATGGTGAATCTTAGTACAGTTGGGATTAAGCAGTTGCCTGTTATGGCTACGTGAAGGAAATGCAATGCTATTCCAAATATTTGCTATCTGCAATGACTCTACTCACATTTCTTGCTCTTGTTGTGAAAGTGAGAAAGTGAAAAGCCTGTACTGGGGATGTTATTACACAAAGGTATAGGACTACATTAGGGTTATTATTGGTTGTGCATGGGACACATGGCCTATGATGTCTCACTGTGATGTGAAGGAGGTGCAGTATATTCGACCGTGAGCGGGATCTATATCGAGCTTGTCGTTGGTCCAATCTTTCTTTCCTCTTCAATTACCCCAACTACAAACTGCGACATCACTGAAAGTCCGGTGAAGATGTTGTCCATTCTGAGGAAAGCCCGGCTAAAGGATAAGGAGATGCGAATCCTGATGCTGTGAGTCTCACCCAGTGATACTTACAGCTAACAAATACATTCACTAACAGCCATGGCCAGAGGTCTGGATAATGCCGGGAAGACCACCATCGTCAAGCAGATTATGAATGAAGATGTCACCACTGTCAGTCCGACATTGGGTTTTATCATCAAGACGATAGATTTCCAGGGGTATGACTATTAAAACTCAATTATCTACCAGAGTTACTCGCTGACTTTCTACGCAGATATAGACTCAACATATGTAAGGATGTCGACCACTGATACCGCCCAGCCTCCACTAACCACCTGCCATCAGGGGACGTTGGAGGCCAAAAGACCCTCCGATCTTATTGGAAAAACTACTTTGAGAAGACTGATACATTAATCTGGGTCGTTGATGCGACCGACCGTCTTAGAGTGGATGATTGTAGAGATGAGCTCGCCGGGCTCCTTTTGGAAGAGGTTCGTTGCCATCCCCGCCGGCACCACTGCGCCCGCCCAAGAAGAGTTTTGCCAGTCCCGGGCTAACCGTCACGCAGCGTTTAATGGGAGCAAGTCTCTTGGTTTTCTTGAATAAGAGCGAAGTTGAGGGATGTATGGATGAGAGTGAGGTTCGACAAGTAAGTCCATACTCTTCACTATTTATTTTTCTTTTATCGCCTTGGGGCTCTTCATGTCGTGTCTTCGAGCAATTATTGACTGATGTTCTTGTCCACAGCGGCTTGGCTTGGATTCTATCAAAACACATAAATGGACGATATTACCCTGCAGTGCGATGACAGGAAAGAATCTGCATAAAGGGCTAGAATGGGTTGTCCAAGACGCCAAAGATAGACTTTTCCTGTACTAATTTATGTGGAAGTCTATGGCTTTGCTTGGCACCCTTTGATGACCGCGATATGCTATCTGTTTCCCTTCTCGATTTATTTTCGTGCTTATGGTCTTACAATAATGGCAGGGGTCATGTTTCTAGCATTTAATGGATATGAAATCTGATGATTTGTTGGCGAAGGTGCTGGTGATAGTCGATATTGTCTCAGCTCTTCTAAAGCACTAATTATATATTCTTCACGGAGGATGTTTCGACCACATAACTACAATTTAGTACTATTACTAGTATTCAGCATTATCACAATACTAAATGCATCCATACTCATGATCGAACTTCATAGTATCCTGAATAACTCCTAACCTACGAATATCAGTAGGTTTAAGGGAGACAACGTTCTAGTACTATGCTGGCTTGCACCACTAGCAGAGCCCCTGTCTCAACTGTTAGTGCCTGGTCGGGTATCGGAACGGCGATCAGACAAATCGCCTTCAGGGTCCACGAACTACACTACGATGGCCCTTGTCGAACATGGTAAAGGCAACGGTGTTCCCAGTTCCCACTACACTAGGGGAGCGCCTCGTCTCGTAATTTACGTCAACCACGAGGTTTCAGCAAGGATTGCCGCCAGTAATGTGTCTCACGATACTAGTCCTGCGCCGGGTGGAAGGGGGAATTAATGTCGTCAGACCCGATCCTGCTGGGTGGTTGATGGGAACTAAGAAGCTCCCGCTTATCTTCGCATATCCACCTTCTTTTCCCCCTTCCCCTTCAAGGCCATCCATCCGTGGATTCCACACCAAGTTACCAAGCTTCGTGTGCCGAGTTTGACCCAACCGAGGTTCCCAAGGATAGTAATGCTGCCCGGAGTAGGAGGGAACAAAATGGAAAGCAGGCCGGTCAACCAGGAAAAATTGATTGCGTATCCGATCGCGGGGCGGCAGAGAAAGTTGAGATTTGCTCCACCGCAAAAGCCGGACCCGGAAAAGTAAACAGTTCTCCGTGTAGAGAAACTTCCAAACACCCCCTCGTCAATCGATGATGAAGCTTTTGGGGAATCCGAGCGGGACATCTCTCTTTGTTTGGGATTTGCGACATGATAAACCCCAACAGGAGGGGCTTTGATCTCGCCTCTTTGGTGCCGGGAGGCAGAAAGTTAAGGGGATCAGCTCACAGCCGCAGAGCGAAGAGATGCGCAAGTGTCAATCCGGTCGGGCGCCTCATCCTAATTTCCTCTGGGCTTCCGGCTGTGGGGCGGCAGCTGATGTGCGTGCCTTCGCCGGGTTCTATTTGACGATGGAGGAGCATTACTATTCTTGCCTTCACGGTGCTCAGCTGGCCTTCGATACGGATCCACCACTAGAAACGAAAAAGACGCTGTCCGGCTCTCGCTGCCATTCCTTCCTTCACACTGGATCGCCCAGGGTGAAAGGTGGAGTAAACCCGACAACGACAACAACAGCAGCAGCAACAACAACAACATGAGCTGGAGGCACACGATTGTTCCTTCCTAAGGCTCAGATCCGGCACGAATCAGTCACAGAAAGTCCCTCAAGCGGGCAACAGCCAGAGTGTCGCTCAATCACCAGCACCACCACCACCGCTAACCGTGACACTCCCTCCACTCTTCCTGATTACTCCAACACCTCTGGTTCACAAACAACCAAATCATCCTCCCCCTCTCTTCCCCCCTCCCCTCTTCTGTCTGGTGCCTCTTGTCTACACCCCACCGTTCCTGGGGGCTTTTTTTTTTTTGTCGGTGTTTATTCGGATTGAAAGGGCATCTTTTCTTTTTCTGACTTGCCATTTCTGTTCTGTTCCCTCTCTTTTTTTTTTTTCTTCTTCACCCAATTTTTGGGCTCATTGAACAAGTGCCAAGCTGGCCATGTCGTCCACAACCGACGCGGATGGCACTGAGGATGTCAACGACTTCCTTTTGCGCATCCGCGAATTAGGAGAGAAGCGCGATAAAGAGGACGAGGAACGCACAAAGAAGTTGGAGGAGGAAATTCTGCAGGGTCGGAAGGAAAGACAGGCTCGGAGAGCTGGTATTTGATTTCCCTTGCTTTTTTACCCGGCGCCCCCCCTTTCAAAAGGAAATTTCCCAGTCGCCATGACTCACGGTTGGCTGGCGGCTGGCTGGTCCTTTTCCAAATCTGTCATCTTCAGGAATGCTGACTGTGTCCCGTTTTTTGGGATGCAATACAGAGCGGGCACGGTCGATTTCCCCCACGAAAGATTCACCTATATTAGATCCCGCTCGGTTGAGCATGTCTTCTTTCAGCCAGCGAGCGATTGACCCCCCGGAACACCTCGAGCCTACCCCTCACACCCCGGGGCATGACACTGGCAACGGGGCTGATTCGGTTCGAGATGACGCATCGATATCCACCGACAATGGCCGGAGGGGGTCGACTCTGACGGCAAACGATGGAGAGACGGCTTCCAGACCTATCTCACCTTTCCGGAGCAGAGCCGGCACTCTCTCCTGGCAACAAAGACCCACGTCTCGGGATAGCAGCAGGCCTTTCTTCTCCGCATCGCCCTCGCGTGAGAGCCGCTTTAGAGCCATGTCCACAACGTCTAATGATGATCATGGGGTATCTAGGAGCCCATTCGCGTCTTCTCCTTCTTTCAAGGACGTACCGTGGTCCCGCCACACAGAAGGAGGGAGCCCGTCTCCGACCCGCGCAAAGCAGGTAGAGGAAGACTCACTGCACCCTCTGCACCCTGATACTGCCGTCAAGGAGTCGGAGGCGAACCAGGAGCACACCACAGAGTCGGCGAAGGAAGCAGAAAATAACGAGCTCGTGGAAGAGCGCTCGCGGTCTCCGTCAAGGGCAAGCTCGACGTTTGCAGAAAGTAGTTTGGGTAATCGGTATTCGAGCATATCTTCTGTGTCGACGGCCACTGGGCTTGGCTCTCCTTTGCCTCTGACGAGCGCACAAAAACTCGAGCCGCGAAAGACGGAGGACGGCGCAGATGACCAGATAACATCACCCCCCTCGCCTAGGCGTTTGTCTCCCGAGCGTTCTACGTCTCCTACCAAGGGGCTCGGTGGATTCGTGCAGAGTGCCATGATGAAGCGATCAGATAGCGTGTCTAAACGCTGGAGCGCTCAACTGCCGTCGGGGCTTAGTCGAGGTAATTCAATCTCTAGCAACCGCAACAGCTTCGCTGCTCCTTCCGGCAGTGATGTTTTCTCCACTGCGCCTTCATACAGAATGAGCAGGGATGGTGCAAGTCTTTCGCCCTCGCGGCCGACCTCTAGCCATCGACCCGGTTCCAGCCACAGGCCTGGTTCTAGCCACAGACCCGGGTCTAGCCATAGCGAAGCGACTGTCGTTCATCCGGTCAAAGATGGCGAACGACCGGCTACACCTCCCGTTCCGGGCAGCAGTGGTGCGCGGCTAGATGAAGAGAACCGCAGACCCTCTCTGAGTCTGCATACACGGTCTACCAGCACCGTTGAGAAAAGCACGGATTCCGGCTCGTTACCACCATCAAGCCCGTCAGTTTCGAGAACGATGGATCCCAAGAGATGGAGCCCGACCAAAGCTTCCTGGCTCGAGAGTGCTTTGAACCGCGATGAATCACCTAGGCATAAGCGACAGCCCTCTCAACAGGCTTCTTGGGTCAAAGATCGGCAATCAAGAGGTAGCGTTGACTTGGGTCGAATCGCAAGCTTCAAAGAGGTTACACCCGTGGGTCTTATGCGGACTACTGCACCTGGTGGTCACTCGAAGACCTCCAGTATCACCGGCATCCCCGATATATTTTCCAATCAAGATGCTGGGAAGACAAAGGAAGCAGAACCCGAAACCGCCGTACAAGGTGCAGATACTCAGGATAGCGCTTTACCACCTGCAGAGAAGACCGAAGATGCCTCTCCTTCGAAAGAGGAGTCGCCTACCAAAACAGAGGCGGAGCCCGAGAAAACGGAAGATGGAGCTACTAAACACAAGCGTACGCCGTCTAACCTGAGCCCGATAACCAAGACCACTATCGATGCGCCCCTGGCATCCCCTCGTGACCCGCTGTTGAATCGGCCCAAGCCTCTGTCTCCTGTGATAGATTTCAGAGCCAACCTTCGACGCAGGGAAGTGGTCAAGGATGAGTCACCCAGGGAGGAACCGGAATTCAAGAATATCTTTGGAAGGCTGAAGAAAGCAGAGTCCTCAAAACACGTGCCGCCGGACGAATTGAAAGAGAATATTCTCAAAGGCAAGGCAGCTCTGAACTCCTCGGGCGGACCAAAGAAGTCGCAGAAAGTGGATGAATTGAAAGACAGCATCCTGAAGCAGAAAGAAGCAATCAAAGCCAGTGGGGGCTCGCTGAGACGTAATACTGCGGGGGAGAAGGATGCTCCTGGCAAATTTGTACCTGAAGCAATTGCAATGCGGAACAATTTGACCAAGTCCAGCAGTATCAAAAGCAATCTTTCAGCAGCCGATTCTTCGTCACCGCTTTCGCCGCTCTCGCCTAGAGAGCCGGGCACACCAAAAAGCACGCATGGCTTCCAGGTTGCATCGCCACTGTCCCCTGCCGGCGCTGAGCCCCTCGAAAAGTTCCAAGGCTCGCCAATCGCTCCAGAACCACCCAAGCCGGGCGTTGATGATACTGCCGAGGAGGCCGCTCAGCCAAAATTGCCGGAACCAGAGAGAGAATGCGGACATGAGAAGACAGACGGGGCAGAGGTGAACGCTGAAGAGGTAAAGGAGGAGGGCATCAATCCGGTGCGTTCTCTGCCACCGGGGGATTTGATGCAGGCTACAAGTGCACCTGCTGAGACCGAGGGTCCTGCTGCTAAAAGTAAACTCGCAGGCCGATTAAACCCTGCCTTAGCGGGCCTTTTGTCCCGTGGCCCGCCCGCACCGATCAACGGGTCCATGAAAGGTCCTTCATTCGGCAGTGCTGGGGGAAGCAGCTCAGGAGTGGAAGGTTCTCAAGCTGGCGCACTCACTCATTTGACCAAGGGTCGAGCTAGAGGGCCAAAGAGACGCCTGCCCCAGGGTACTACACCGGAAGGTACGAACTCACTCTTTGATGAAAGCAATCATGTACCAGAGTCTCCGCCAACACCTTTGGATGCACAGAGACCAGAATCGATGTACTCGGAGACGGAGGAGGAAAGTGATGCACCGGATATGCCAGCACATGTGGATGTAGAGAAAGCCGAAGACATGCCATTGCATACGGAGACGACACATGCTTTAGAGCCATTGACATACATGGAAGAAAAGACCCCCGAACCTGCGAGTCCAGTCCACGAGGCTATCACGCATGCACCAGAGCTTCCGGAAATTGTGGGAAAGCCAGAATCTGAGCCCCTGAGCCCACTGCACAAGGAAAATACTAATACCCCAGAGCTGTCGTCACCCATTGATGAGGAACCCCAACCTGATAGCCCAGTGAAAGAGGAAATGAACTATGCACCCGAACGTTCAGCGCCTGTCCATAACGATGAACCCGAGCCTACCACGGAATTCCAGGAAGAGACACACGATGCACCTGTGCTCTCAGCATCCAAGATTGAGGAACCTCGACCTGCTAGCCCAGTCAATGAGGAAGAGAACCATGCACCCATGGTTTCAGCGCCTATTGATAAGGATGAACGTGGACCTGCGAGTCTACTCCAGGCAGAAGCTCACGATGTTCCAGCGCTCTCAGCACCCAAGATTGAGGAACCTCAACCTGTCAGCCCAGTCCAGAAAGAGAACGATGCACCCATGGTTTCAGCGCCTATTGATAAGGATGAATGTGGGCCTGCGAGCCCACTCCGGGCAGAAGTCCACGATGTTCCAGTGCTCTCAGCACCAGCCGATAAAACCGAAACCGTGCCTGCGAGCCCGATCCGCGTGGAGGTGAACGATATACCAGTGGTCTCAGACGAACTTGAGCCCGCAAGCCCACTGCAGGAGGCAGTCCTCGACACACCAGCGGTAAAGGATGAACCTGAGCCTGCCAGCCCGATTCGAGAAGAAATGAATGATGTACCGGTGGTTTCAGCGCCTGTTGATAATGGTCTACCTGAGCCTGCGAGCCCACTCCAGGAAGAAGTCCACAATGCATCGGTAGTTTCCGACCCAGTGGATAACGATAAACCTGAACCCGTGAGCCCGATACACGAAGTCAATCCGGCGCCAAAGCTCTCGGCGCCCCTGGAAAAGGAAGCCACACCTGCCTACCCAACCTACGAGGAGAACAGTGATGCACTAGTGCCCCCAGCACTTATGAGTAAGAAGAAGTCTGAACCTGCAAGCCCAATCCAGGAGGAAATCAATGGTGCACCGGTTGCCTCAGCGTCTTTTTGTAAAGATGAACCTGAGCTTGTGAGCCCAGTCCAGGAAGAAGTTCACACTGCACCGGTGCTCAATGCACCTGCAGGTATGAGTGGTCTTGATGCTACGAGCCCGAACCAAGATAAAGCCAATGGAGCGCCAGATCTCTCGACTCTTCTGGAAAATGAAGAGGCCAAGCCTGCGATCCCAGTCCGAGAAGGGATCATTCATGAACCTGAGCATTTAGCTTTTGCGGATGGCGAGAAATCTGAGGCTACAAACCTAGCTCTCGAGAGCCCTGACGCCTCAGGACTGCCAGGACAGGCGGAAGAGGCAACACTCGAAGTTACAAGCCCGATCTTGGAAAGGAAAACTTATGTACCACCGTCACCGGTCCATATGGATACCATAGAGACTGAAGCTACAAGCCCGGTTTACGACGAGACTGATGAGGCCCAGGAGATGTCGGCCAGTGAGGACGAGAATAGGCCTTCATCGTCAATAGTTGGGGTGGACGAGCCCCCGTCGGCCTCTTTGGATGCGCACGTTCCCGAGCCCATGGTTTCTGCCGCAGAAGAGAAGAATGGTGTTCTGAGCCCCCCTTCGCCAAAAGCAGAAGAACCCCAAACCAGAAGTCCAGCTCCTGAGGCGGGTGATGCAGTACCGAACTCTCCATCAGACCTTTCGGTTGCACACGAGCCAGCACCTGCATGCCCAACCTCGGTCCACAACATTGGTACTGTGAAGTCTCCATCATTGGATGCAGAGTTCGAGCTTCCCAACTCCACGTCAGAAGTACCTGAGGCGATCCCGAAATCTCCAGCATCTACTTTGGACGCACAGAGGTCAGAAGCACCCGTCTCACCCATTGGCAGTCCTGCGGGAGCCTCCGGCGGCTGGCCCCTTCCTAATACTGAAGTCAAATCCAATGACGAACCGCAAGCGAGCCCGAGTCAGCTTGACACGCCAGCAACAAGCAAGCCGACTGAATTCAAGAGGAGCATCCCTCGTTTGATAGAGAGAGAGACCCCGCAGAAGCCCGATGATACGAGCCCTAAACCCTCAACAGTGTTGGACCAGACTGCTACCAATATCCGAGAGAATGCCAGCGCATACTTCAAGAGTATACGAAGCTCACTCTCGGCAAAGCCTCCTTTGCCACCGAAAACAGCCCCACTGCCAGCAACACCTGTTTCGAACCAGACACGGGCTTCGCCAACTCACTTTTCTTCACCCTCTCCTTCGCCTTTGAGGGCAAGCTTCAGGGATAACCAGAGTTATACTCATCCAACACAACAGAGGTCCGCGTCCTCACTCTTTTCCACCATAGGTTCACGCAACTCGTCGCCACGGGATAAAGCTTTGCCTTCTCCTCCGGTTCCTCCTAAGGGGTCCAGGGCCTCTGTTGACCGCTTCTCCTCGAGATCTTCAACCTCTCTTGTACCTCAGGCCGATGAATCTTGGGAAGCCATATCTGATTTCTTCAAGACCTTCCCGAAATCGAGCGACCGTGTCAACATTGATACGCAGTTGATGCTAGCAGATAAGAGCGACAATGCCAAGATCAGGACTTTGAAGAGACAGTTGTGGGAGATTACAGGAGATGGAAAGAAGCAGGATCTTCCTGTCAACCAGGAATACATCTTGTATGAAGGAAGCATGTACCTCTGCGTGCATCTTTTTGAGGCTGATGGCACTGTACGCTCTGAAGTGCACCTCTGGTGTGGTGATGATGTCCCCGACTCCGCAGTCGATGATGCGCAGGCTTTCTCTCGCAAAGTCGCCAAGGATAATGGGTCCAAGCTGGAGATTATCAAGCAGGGCAAGGAACCCGCTCGGTTCATTCAAGCTTTGGGGGGCATTCTCATTACTCGCCGCGGCTTGAGTTCTCGCTCTAGCTCCTCCGCCATCTTCATGCTCTGCGGGCGCAAGCATTTGGGTCAGATGGTCTTCGATGAAGTCAGCTTCTCGCCAAGCAATCTGAGCTCCGGCTACCCCTTTGTGATCTCTGCGATGTTCGGCAAGCTCTTTCTCTGGAAGGGCAAGGGCAGCTCCGCCGAAGAGATTGGTGCTGCGCGCCTGATTGGCATGGACCTTGGGCTAACCGGTGAATTTGAGGAAGTGGCTGAGGGTGAGGAGCCAGAGAGCTTTTTCGAAGTCTTCCCCCACTGGGAACGAGAGACAGGTGATACCAGCACCGACTACTGGCGTGTGAAACCTAACCACGAGCGATATCGGTCGCGGCTTTTCCGTATCGACCACGAGCTCGGCCAACGTTCAGGGTTCTGGCTGCGTCGCTCAGGCTCGCCTTCTCCGGTTATCCGGCCCAATGACACTGTCCAGGAAATCGAGCCATTCTGCCTCAAGGACATTACTGCCAAGGGAGTCTATGTTCTTGATACCTTTTTCGAGATCTATGTGTATGTGCCCGTTTCCTGTTCTCACCGCCCGACTGCTAACATTCTTCCCTTGATTAGGATCGTGGGCGACCAAGCTTCCAACCGACCCGCCGAGTTCGCATCTGCGGTAGTCCTTGCGCACGAATATGGCATTCTCACCGCATCGCTTCAAGACCGACCCTTCATCCCGAAGAGCTTTGTCGCCCTCGGAGGAGTTCCGGAGTCTTGCAGCACTGCGTTCCGAAAGTGGATCCCGGGCTATCCTTCGCAACGCCTTCCCCAGGTGTTTCCCCTCAATGCGGCTATCGAAGCGATTCGGTCCGCTTAATCTTCTTTTCTCTCGGCTTTTAATTTCTTTCTGGGAGGTGTCCTTTCTCCTTGTGGTATATTTTTTCCTTCTTCTGGTTTCTAGCTGTGCATAGCGATTTCGCGGGGTTTTACAAGTGCATATACTAGCTCGGCTGGGTCTATCTGTACAGAATTGGGGACTGAGATGGCATGGGATGGGGAAGTGGAAACATTGCTTTTCGAATTTCCAAGGAGCCTATATGGCGGGGTGTGTATGTGGCAGTCATTTTGTGCATATCTACATGACTGTGTGCTGGGAGTTATGGTTGCTGTTCACTTATTCTACTTTTTCCTTCTTCGCTTCGATGAAGATATTGGCACTGATTCCGTGTACGATACATATTGCCTCAATATAGAAAGACTTCTACTTTACTAAGATAGGAGGTGAGATGAGACCCGAAGCCGGACTTCGCCGCCAACCGTCATCCAGTCTGCTGCTCTAGTCTTCTCTTATCAATTGCTAAGGCTACTAATTACTGGCATTCTCTATATGAGGGGGAAAAAGAGACTCATAATAAGGAGGTTTGGCGAAAATTGTAAACTGGACTGGACAGACACTTTCTCCTTTGCAGCAGGTCAGCTGGAATAAGGCAACTCGGGGATTTCTATTGGTTGACCCTAAGTAACTGTATACTACGTTATTGCCTCAATTACTGTTCTCTACTTTCTTTTTCAATTTTTAAACAAGATATCCCTTTCCCTTTTCCGTCTTGTTGCATACATAGAAAGAAGAACCATCGATCTTCGTATCCATACCTGACCTGTCTACTTTGCTCGTTGAGAGAAATATTTGTATGAGATCTTTTTTGTGATTAGCCGCCTCTGTTTGCTTATTCCGGGGTTCTCAGCTGGACTTCTGACGAGTAGTAGCCGATTTGACTCGAGATCACTCCGGTTTTCGCATATTTGTTGTATTCCCCTTGGTCACGGGTCTCGGAGTTATGGCACTCCGTGTCGACGAGCATCGGTCGATGTCCGGAAGGAAGTGTATTCGTTTTCTTGATCTGCAAGATGTGGAAAAGAATGCACATCTCTCCCTCGGTTTGGCTGCCTCTACTCCGTAAGATGGCCAGTGTTTTCCGAAGCTCTCAAGAGAAACATCTGGTGGGCAGAGTTGGTCGATATACTACATACATAGCTGGTTGTATATCGTCACGGAGTTTTGTCGGTGGGAATGATCAAATTAAAAAAGAAAAAAAGGAAAAAAGAAAATAGCCCTGTGGCCTTCGTGGCAGCCACGAGTGGGAAACAGAGCGTCGGCACGTATACGTACGTACGTAGGTATGTACCGTTACCCATTGGGTAGTTTGACAATTCAGCATTTCTGCGCGATCATGCTCTTCGGGGCCGAGGAGAGGTGTTGCCTGCCTGTCCCGAAGAACCAACAGTTATTATCCCAGCATCAGCACATCAGCACTAAGTACTACTGTACCGCAGTGTGTATTGTCGTAGACCAACCAGAATCCGCCCGAGCTCGTTGCCATATGGGAAGGGCTCACTCACTCACTTACTCAATCCCTGCCGCTCACTCAGGTTTAGAGGGAAGAAAACCAAGGAATTTCCATTCTTTGATCGTCCATTGGCTTGGCTAGTTTTCCATAGATTGAATGAAATTGAAAATGTAAACAGAGATCATGCTAGGTTATGTCATGCAATGCAGGTGATGCCAGGATTTGCCTGGGCATGCGGCAGGAGATTTGGGATGTATAGACTTGATGGAGAAGTTTCTCACCGGCTTTTGTGTTGCGCGCTCTATCAAGTTTTTCTCTTTGATTTTTGCCTCCCAGTTGAAGTTATGTGTCCGTCATTCGGTGTTGTTGTCGGTGTGTCTGTGTCATCAGGAGGATCGTCATGGGACCATATGGACGCTGTGCCATCGGGATGGGAAGACAAATATCTGGCGGAAGGGCAGAAGTAATGGCACAACGACTCCCATGGTCATAATATTAACAATAACGATAACAACCAAGGAATGGCGGGAAGAATGAATGAAGCACAAACGAACGAGTCGCACTGAAAAGTCATCAAAACGGACGGGGGAAATAGGGAAAGAACGTAAAGTCACGTTGCCGTGATTGGCTCCATTTGGCAAGAGGCCGGGCATCAATCCGTCACTTCTTTCCTGTTCGGTTGCTTCTCTTTCGTGCTTCCTTCCATCCGCAATTTTTCGTCTTCCAATCCCGATTTTTCTCTCTCTCTCTCTATCCTCCCGTGTTCGGTCCATTTTATGACATCTTTACGAGTATTTTCCATTCTTTCTGATGTTTACTGCCTAAATCCCGGACGATGCCCAGGCTTGATCGACGGGATGCTCGCAAACTGAGATTAACCTTCAGCAGGGGTGACAGTCAAAGATGACCTATCCTGAATGCCCCGCGCATTGCCTGCGCCACAGTTATCCCCAGGACGTTCCTGATGTTTGGATTCAACAATTCTTGACGGAAGTTTATTTTCAGTAGGGCAAATTGGAGGGGTCAAGGTTAAGCAGACGGAGAAATCCACCATAACCACCACCACCACCATAACCCCTCCGTTCAGGTCCAAGGCCCTGCAGGTGAGCGGACCTTTTCTTTCCCTGCAAGTCGCCCGTGCGGTTTGACTTGCGCTCACGCAGGATCCTCGGACCCCCTCAATTCAACGCGGGTGAAAGAGGGGAAATCACATCAATGATCCTCCTGCCTTGCTCTTAGTCCTCCTGCTAAAACTCTTGAGGGTGTTATCGGATCCCCTGTGGCCCGGGCTTGCCTGATCTCGTATCAACTCTCTGAGGCAACTCCCTTGACACAATGGGTGGCCCGAAGGTGACAGCAATCAGAAATACTGCAAGAAAATAGGATGGAAGCAACATTTTTAATCAAATGTAATTCGAATATATCCATGTCCATGCCATGTTTTTTTTCCCGCTCCCTTTTCGGTAGCTGGACTTCAGTCACGCTTTCGATACAGGTCAACATGCACGGATACTATTTTTTTTTTTTCTATTCCCTCTCTGACGGACCCGAGCTCGTGCAGAGATGCAATAAGCGCACGCCGTGCAACCCCTCTGCACCTTGCAAGTCAACCTGCAGCCTGATGTGCTGACGCTTACTCAATGTTTATTACACTTCTGTCACCAACAATGCCATTGCACGCATCCTCCCAGTGACCTGGGGCGGGGCATCCTTTCAATAGATTGGCATCCCCATCTCTCCTTATTTTCTTTATGATTATCTCTCAGGTGATCTTTTGACAGGGCTCATTATCGTGCCGCTATCATTTTCGGCATGACAGCAACGCCACACACACCATGAATGGCCTTGCTGATATGACGGGAGTGGACCATAGCAATACTTAGACCCCCGGACCCTGTTTTAGACCGTCTACTTACAATACTGCGCTTACAAAGCTCAGAATGATTTACTAGCTCTGCCGATGAACAAAAGCATTATGCGGCTTTTCTTGACTGGATGGAGGCCACCCGACTTTGCCGCGCTCATTTTCTTTTAACATAATTATTTCTAAGTGTGCTGCACGTCTCTTGCTTACTACTAGACCGAGTCAAGCAGAATATGCCTGTGCAGGTGATTGCCCGAAAAACTGCGGGAAAAGGGAAAAAGAAGAAAAAAAAAGAACTAGTCAATGCAGAAAAAATGGAAAGGGGAAGAGAGAGAGAAAAAAGGTTAGAATTTGAAAAGAAAAAGCAAGTGACAGCCCACACCATTGGGCCAACGCCGGCTCATCGCCCTTGGCGTAACGCTGAACTCAGCGAAAAACACGCGCTCGTCGATTGCATGGGCGGTAGTCAGAGTGTTGGTGAGCCGGTCATCCGTGTACCAATGGCAGCTGGCAAACCATTCGATACGCGCCTGCCAGACAGACCTGTGGTATCAATGTTTCCCTCATCGGCCCCGAGCTCTGCCTGAGACTGCAGCTCAGGTCCTCCTGTACTATGGCCATGTCTCACCCAGCAGCACTGACAAGAGAAAAAAACAAGAGGGCAGGCGAAGGGTAGGAGAGATACGGAATACGGAAGCGACAAGTCTGTCGCAAAAGAATGACGCGACGAGGCGAGTACCTGACTGTTTACCCTTGATGCTGAAAGGCCACCACTGGCATGGCGCAGGAAGGTCAGCTTGAAGGCTCATTTCTGCGCTTCGCTGCCCAAATGACCAGGATTGTGCCCGGCTAGTGCCGATGAGCGGTGCCATGGGCATTCTCTGGTTCTGACGGCTCGGACCGTCGACAGGCATGACTGCTGGCGTGTCTCGCGCCAGCAAAATTGGAGGGGGAAGTGGTGGTGGTCACCTGTATCAGCAAACGAAAACATAGAGGGCTTTTGTCAAGCATATCTGTCCAGATATGCGGGGACCCCTGGGTGTACCTGCTAGGCTGCCACAGCCACAACGGCCTGAAGGACGTCGAGCGACCGGTGCCGGTTGATATCGTGACAGGCCGCTTTTCCACGTCACCATCGCAGTTTCTCAGGCGATATACGTCTCGTCTCGTCTAGTCTTGTTGTTGTCGGAGGGTGGGGTAGCAAGAGTCCAAGGGAGGTGCGGGGCATTCGATATGCAGGCTGGCATAAAATGATATCAACTTGATTGAATTTCCTTCAGAGACAAGTCAAGACATGCCCTCTCAGCCTCCTCTGCTGTCACATCTCTCCCTCCCCTTCCACTCCCCCCTAGCAATTATCTCGCACCCCACCTGCTTGCTTTGCTTTGCTTTGCTTGCTTTGCTCCAAGTAGCTGCCATTCATCATCTACTTACCCCTCCCCCTCCTTTTCATTTTTCTTTCTCTCTCATCTGCAACCTGCTACTTATCTATTAGTCAGGTCTCATATCACTATCAGACCCCCCTCTCGTCTCTTGTCTTCTTATTTTCCTTCTTCTTTCCCCCTCCATTCCTCTCCTTCTCTGTTCCTTCCCTCTGAGCGTGTGCGCAATTGTTCTTTTTTCTCATCTTTGTTATTATCTTGACTGCACACCAGCACTCCCCTG